CACGTTTACACACGCCGCGTTTTTTTTTTTTTTTCGGGCGTGGTGGTGGTAGTGGTTAGAAGATGAGAAGAGGCACCTAATTTCTGCAACCCGGTCGGGAGCACGGCGCTCCCGACTGGGTTGCAGAAATTAGGTGCCTCTTAGGTATCTCTGTAATCAGGTATCTCTGGAATTAGGTATCTCTGGAATCGATACGTTACGTACTGCGCATGTGCAGTTCTCTCCCATGGCAGTGCTGCGTACGTGGGCTCGTTACTTACGCCCCACTAAATGTGTCTCTTAAACGACTCCTCACCTGCACGACGCCTGCGTGTTCCTTTTCCATAGCAGCTTCAAGCTCTGGCATGGCTCCCATGAATGCCCCGCAGAATTCCTGAGCTCGATTTTGGCTCGAACACTTGTCTTTATTCCTAACTGATGCCCATTGAGGCCTTTGGCTCACGAACAACGCCGCTGATGCCGACGCGACAGTTTCTGTGACACCAGCTCTCTAATGCGATCGCGTCAATTAGTCAATGTCCGATAAGATAAACTTGTCCGCTTAGCGTGCCCGTAGATGAGAAACAGCCTCGTTGCACGAGTTGCTGGTCAATAATAAAGCAAGGCCTTCACAATAGGCGCGTGATCGCGAAACATCTCTGACGTTTTTTTTTTGTTGTTTTTTTTCTTTTGGGAAGGCGATCCACCTCTCAGTTCCACGCACGATGCAAGTGTGAATAACAAGATGTGGGCTAGCCGAAGTCATGACGAACCATTAAATGCATGTCTGGGCCCAGTTTAAACGATATATGCTATACCCGGTCCACTAAGGCGCACAAACTACTTCGCTTCTGGTCTTTATTGCAAACCCGAAGGTAGCAATGAACCGGTCTGTGTCGTCCGACTTTGCAACCACATGTACGTACAACATCGGCGGTTCAACCATCAAGTATGCAGCGCAAAGACGAAACTCGTGTTTCTATGCCGCCGACTCAAACTGTATGTTAAGTGGTTGCCAATTATCGGTCGGCAGGGCTGAACGTAGACAACGATAAGAATACCGGTCGATGATAGATATGTGGGGTTTAACGTCCCAAAACCACCATATGTATATTAGAGACGCTCTAGTGGAGGGCTCCGGAAATTTCGACCACCTGGGGTTCTTTACGTGCACCCAAATCTGAGCGCATGGGCCTACAGCATTTTCGCCTCCATCGAAAATGCAGCCCCCGCAGCCGGGATTCAATCCCGCGACCTGCGGGTCAGCAGCCGAGTACCTTAGCCACTGGACCGCCACGACGGGGCTGATAGGTATACCGGTCTCGGCCTGTCGAGACTTTACTCTCGCTTTCGGTGCAGAACGCCTCGCAGACGTACTTTCTCTTTCTTTCTCGCTTCTTCTTTTAATCGAGGCAGCCTGAATTCCAGAACAGACCGAGCAGTGGGCTCCTTGCGTTTCCCTCTGCCATTTTCGAGGAAAAATAAGGAACACTTTCCTCTGTATTTCATTTCCACACGGCCACTGGCAATAAACGGGTGCTGCTGGTTCGACGTGGAGGGCTGTGCGAAGTGTGATAATTCGACAAGGTGAATTACGGCTCAGACGTCGTTCGGTCGCTTGCAACCGGGCAAACGTGGCCAGCGAGACTCGCCATCGGTGGTTCAAGGTTAAGGGTGACCCTCCGTTTCGTATGGAAATGCCCACGATCACCTTGTTTTTTGCTACTTGGCCAAGGCGTGCGGTGCTTACGGCACCCGTGTGGCGTAAACGGAAGAACGCACCATGAAGTGCGCCCGGCAAACTTTAGTCCTGTCAGGGGGAATTCCACGGGACATGCGGTGCGCGATCAATTAATGCAGCGACACCGATTGTACATGCAGCGGCCTTTGTGAAGGATGGTCTCGGCAACGGCCTGGTAGGCGATCTCTCTCTTTCTCTCTTACACACACACACACACACACACACACACACACACACACACACACACACACACACACACACACACACACACACACACACACACACACACACACACACACACACACACACACGCGCGCGCGCGTTCGAACTCACGCCTTTCTTTTTTTTTCCTGAGTGCGCAATGAGCGTTGATGTAAACAGGACTGTTAAACGTTCTTGCCCCACCCACGTGTGCTCTTAGCGAGTTCCATATAGAATAGCCATGGGTCGGCCTGACCTCATGCCCCTGGCCACGCGTACGGGAGTGAAATAGAGCTACGCTTATATATAAAGGTGTAATAGCCACACTTGCGCTTTAACGATGACCTCTTGGCAAGATCGCAATTTACCCTTTTGTGATGAAGGTGTTTGAATGGCTTTTGGAATATGGGGTTGGCGTGGCATATGCCAATGTGTGCACCTGTCACAACGCATGGCGTGCGCTTACTTATCTTTTCACCTATAGCAGAATGAGTTATGTCTGACGCCAGAAAAAACACACGTCCGCTCGCCCGCTCACACGTGAACGCGTACACTTCGCCTTCGCTTACGCGTACCACGCGTAAGATAATTATAGCATAGCGTTAGCGTGATAGCGGTGGTTAACAACATAGCGTCACCGAGCGGTAAACGTCATAGCGTCACCGAGCGCCCAAGCCGTGACATTTGCGTTATCTAGCGGGTGGTGAATGAGTCAAAAAAGGTGAAATAAAAAAAAGATTGATAACGCTCGCCTTTCTCCCCGCATGCAGCATTACTACAGTCTTTTACAGCAAAAGCTGCTGAGATGACAACAGAGTCACGTGCGCCGTAGTTGTCCACCACCGCCGGTGTCCCTAACCACTATCGACACCAAGGTGCCGCTTGGATTCGAACCCGGGTTCCCTACATGCGTGCCAGCCCAGTGGTCAGCCACTGAGCAACGCCAGTGCTTGAATCTTGCGAACTTAACATAGGCAGGTTTGATGACGGGAAAGTAATCGCGTTAATATGAGTAATAAATCGTTTTATAACAGCAAAGGAACAACCAGGGGTCGCACAATGCGAATTGCGTAACGAGAAGCTTGTCGAATACTCCAAAGCTTCAAACATAATCTTCGTCAATCACAGCATAAAAAAAATTGGACAAATATTTTATTTCAAGTGTGTGTAGCGGGTACCACGCTTCTCCGAATAATGATGAAGGATAGTGAATGCCTGCTTGCTACACAAAAATTATGATGGTTAATGGCGTAGTGGGTATCCTGCAAGTGTGTTTGTAGCAGTTGCCCAAATAGTGTTTAAAAAGGGCCCGGACAGGCCGCTCTTCCAGCTTTCGCTGTGACTGTGTTGCGCGTTCCACACAGGCCTGGCGGTTCGTTTAGTAACAATTGTAGGGGGTCCGTACTATGTATACGCTGACGCAGAAGCCTTGCTTATGTTTCAGCCGCACGCAGTCACACCGGCCACGATTAACGTCCCCTTCCCGTAGCGCGAGTCATCGCACCTACACAGCTTCGGGCGAATGAAGCTTCCCCACACAATAAGAGTAAATAAATATGATTTACGCATCAAATGCGAAATTTTTGATCTTGCAGATTTCTTTGAGACAATCTTCTATATAGTTATATAGACGTTCGAAATTAAAAGAGATGTAAAAAAGTTACGCTAAGTCATCCGTAATACTCGGTCGTCGAAGCTATGTATACCTCTGGGCAAGCTAAGCCACTTTAAGGCGGTAGCGTTAAAGAGCTTGCTTCGCAGAAATTCCGGCGTTGGCGTCGTTGGTTGTGAGCAAAAAATCATATTCTTGTCCATGACCGAAAAATGAAGAAAGTTGCAAATTAAACAAATAATGAAACTTGCCAGTTGGGAGTGAGGATTGAACCAGGGTCGCTTGCCTGGCAAGCAGGTGTCCTGCTACGCAGCCACGCGTCCACTTGGAGATGCAGTAAGCATAACTTGTGCTTTATAGACATATGCATCATTTATACAAGATTCACAATACATAATGTATACTTGCAGCAATGTTACGTTGTATAGAAGCGTACATTGCCGTCAGCCGTCGGAACATGCGATTGCTATTATGACTTCGTGGTTTTAAGCCAACCACCCATTGCAAAAGGCACACACGTTACAGCCCGTATTCCCTTTAGATCACATAGCGGGTGCATATCAAGTTTGAAAGCATTTCACGCGCATAATTGCTCGTGGTTTTAAAGAATGCTCCCCATTAGTCAGAATGCATGCAGCCATATGCGAAAGCTTCACTAACACAAATCACTTTAACTTTGTCGATTACATTGTAGTCATCTACAGTTTAAACTTCTGCAGTAACGTCCTGCAGTAAACAAGTATGCACTGTGTGGTTGAAGTACGTACTAGGAACAAGATATCGGTATACCGCGTTGAACACTTGAAGGCGAAGCTTAAGTGTATCGCAATACTAACCCATTCATTTGCTGCAAAAGAAGTGGAACCGTCCACAACCACCGCCATGTTTTATGTAGACTACGCTAACCCCGCTGACATGGTAACACACCGCTGGTAACACACCACTGACATGGTAACCCCGCTGACATGGTAAAAACAGCGTTAGTACAGAAAACGCTTCGGGCCGTTTAGTGTACTGCTCATGCGCATTTAAATCACGCCCTGTGTTTGTGTCTATTTTTTCGTACGTCGTCTACATTGCGCATATTTCGAGTCATATCTGAAGTGTTTCTGTGGTTTTTTTTGGTCAATGTAGCCGTATAATTTCCTATGCGTTGACGTTAAGACATTGTCATATTCGAAAATATTGAGACACAGAGGGTAATTTAATTTAGCCGAGTTAGATGTTGTCGAGTTTGACAATAGTCTGTTGAACAAGCAAGACATCTTGCTTCATTTCGCATAGTTTCCTTCATTGCATATATATATATATATATATATATATATATATATATATATATATATATATATATATATATATATATATATATATATATAAAAAGAGACAAAGAGACAGAGAGAATAACGTTGTCGATTTCATCTGGATGTTACCAAGCTAGAACCAACAGACTTGTAGGAATGCACTCACTCCCAGTGAAGTATGCGCACATCATGGCTGTGAACGGGTGCGACGCAGCCTCTCTGGAGGCCCCCGAATGCGTGATGAGTCCCACGTAGAGGACGGGTGTGGAGCTGAGGCCCACCCAGCCGAAGAATGCGTACGCGGTGCAGAAGACGCCCAGGTACCAGGCCCTCGCGGTGTCCGGACCCTCGCGCGCTGTCTTGCGGGTTGCTGTGCTGGTCTGCGGCTTCGCCATTGTTGTCGCTGCTCAATGATGTCCAGCGTCCTGTGAGAACACACGCGTCTCTGTAATTCGCGCGTTTTTTTCTGGTCAACTTTGTACTCAATACGCATTAGGGACATGATGCGTTCAGCTATCGCGTTCAGCTAGTAAAAGCAAAGCTTAAGGTAGGAATTTCTCGAATTCTGTGAAATTAAGGAATTCATCACATTAACAAGCATAAGCACGTAATTTAACCTAAGATTTCATTCTAAAGTCGGCAACCTTTCAATAGAAATTGGTGTTATATGCAATAGAATCAATGGTTTATGCATTCCGTACATGACACTAGGGGCATATTTATTTGGGGCTGATATTCAACAAGTATGAGTCCCTGTCACACCAGCTGAATCTTTTATTGCAGTAAGATGTAGTCGCGTAGTTTTTTTTTTTGTACTCACTGCCTTTCATTCTTTGCTTGATAAAACGCCGCCCTAGTCTTCATGGCGTCGCTCCACGTAGAGCTTGTACACAGCGTTTCTGCTTGGTTTAATGTTTTGATTTCGGTGAGGCCAGTGACCCGCGTGTTGCGCGTGATCGTACAAGCTGAATTAGGTCAAGTTTTTGACATGTTTAACGCAGACGTTGGCGTTAAAGATATCAACATACAGCGTCTCTGTAACCTTTTTTTCTGTGGGCTGCTGCTACGCACAGCAGCAGCAGCCGCAGGAACGTTGCATAAAGTTACGTGGGTTTATGGGTTGAGATGAATCGCGATTGGAGATATCTTGGCTTGTGTAGTATGTATGTAAGGTAATACAGATAGCATTTTCCTACATCCACGGTATTTTGGCAGCGGGACTCATTTCAGCATTGTCCGTGAAGATGTGCACGGCTGGCACATACACCTTCGCATTCAAAGTGTCATTTATCACTTGCAAAATAAAGTCCAAGAAATGTGAGATTACGCTTAAATACGAGCGTACACACAGTGTTTGTGTCAACACCATTCAGTCTTTAAAATAGAGTTGAAGAAAGTGGTGAGCTTGGTAGGTTAGTATAGACGCATATTCTTTTCGTGCTGGAGTTGTTTTTTTTTCTCGCGCTGTTTAATATTATGTTCCGAAATGAAGAACGCGAAAACCTACAATTTGGTCACACTCGATTTGCGCCTCACGCCGGGGAAAAGTGGACTGATGACTTCTGTACTATAGACCCGCAGATCGCGGGATCAAATCCCGGCTGCGGCGGTTGCATTTCCGATGGAGGCGATATGTTGTAGGCCCCTGTGCTCAGATTTGAGTGCACGTTAAAGAACCCCAGGTGGTCGAAATTTTCGGAGACCTCCCCTACGGCGTCTCTTATAATCATATGGTGGTTTTGGGACGTTAAAACACACATATCAATCAACTTCTGTACTATATTTTGGCCCTGCATAAGTGGTGAGATGAGTGTCCACATCGGCATCTCTTTCTACACGCTGGTCCCTTCCGCGATAACTTCCTTCTAAGAAGAGTGGGACTATAGCTTAAATGCGGGCATAGGCATACAAGTAATAGCAGCGTCTAAGTGCGCCAAACGTAACGGGTGTTGTGAAGAAGCTATAGCCTGTTATTAGCCATGTGTTCAAAGTGGATGGTAAGAGGCCATTAGCTATGTTGTTAGTCTGTAATTTCTAAATCATGGCAGTAAGCATCGGCTCGCATTCCACCATAGCTTTCAGGAGCAAGCGCATGCGAAGTAAGTGTCGAACAACGTATCTGGCATTCGATACTAGCGCAGTGCTTAGGGTGCGTCTTTCTTAAATGATGCAATTTATTAGAACTCTATCGTATAGGAACGTACTCTCAGCATAATGATTCGACCATTGACAACGTAGATTCATCGACTTACAACGTTAAATAGTATGATATTATGCTTAGAGGCTGATACAACTAAGCTGCACGCATGCATAGCCGTCGATCAGAACATTCCCTGCACCTGTCTATCTTTCACCTTATCTTATCTCAAGCTTGCAATCCAACAGCTCATGCTCGCATGCCCGCGCATTAGTTTGCTCACCTCGCACCCGTCACATGATTGCCGCACGCGGAGCAGGTAAATGGTGGTGAGAGCCAAGAGAAAGCGTTAACGCTGACTGAAACAAACCTAGCAATAACTGCTTCATCCGAAGCCGTCCTTTCACCATTTTTTTCTTCGTCTTCTTCTTTCGGTGCTACAAAGATGCAGACCTCATTACACTAGACAAATCTCACCGCAATTAGAGGCCCACGAGCAATGCTAAGGCCGGTCGTCCTAAATGCCTTCCTTCCGCTGAGCCCAGCCAAGGGCCCCTCACTGCATCCTTATGGCCCGTTATTCGCGTACTCCGGTCGCCAACCACCTTTTTTGATAACGCCGTCTCAAACAGAAGAGCTAAAAAAAACTAAAAAGCAACGACAAAGAGGTGCTCCTGACCAGAGACTCGTATTTGTTCCGATTTGACCATAAAGGGTCATAAATGTGTGGTTGACGTCAACGTCACATACATGCCACGCTGGGACTATATAGTGTGTAAAGTCATGTACCCCGTTGCAATATGTCTGCTCTCTGCTGTAGTACGCTTTCGGGCTGCTACGGAACATACTATGGCGTTTTATGAGTGTATATCCATAGCACCCCCAAGAATACTGTTGTCGCCTCAACTTACAGAAAATGCATACTGGTTTCTGTTGCTCTCTTCTTAGTCGCTTATAAAGATTGCATGCCCACTTGTCGTAAAATGTTCTCATTTTTTTATGAACAAGTACCGGTAACACTATACATTTATGAACATTCATGAGTCATTTCGTACGTAGACGCTTTCAGGGATTCTGGTGCCAAATTCAGAAAGCTTTCAGTCCCTAAGTGGCCTGTGCCGTTGGTCACGTGGGCTTGCCAATCCCCCATCCGGCATCGTGATTGGCTAACAATCGTCTTACGATTAACAAAAGTTGTTTTTCCGAATTCGGGCCTTGCAGGAGAGCCTGCCGTTTCTACCTCTTCTCTTTTGAGGAATTATGAAAGTGGGCAAAAGCTGTCACCATATTTTGTAAGCGTTGACTTTGTATGAACTGACTAGAGCAAGACCGACCTGTATAACCTAGGGAACCACCTTTATTTTCAACATCCGCGAGTGGCACCTGCGCGAGAACATGTCGCAAATTCCTCAACTGTTTAGGAGCGCACATGATAATGCGAACAAAGAACCGAACGTCGGGCGTGTTGGTAATCTAATGTTGTGAACACAGCGCTAGGCCAGCAAAGTATTAAGTAGAAGACCAGACCAAGCTGCATACGTGTAGTCTTCTACTTTATTACTTGTCGTTTAGTGCTATTTTATCGGGTATGCATAAATATAAATATGAATGGAAGACCGTATTTTGTCAATGCTTCCCTTTTATAGTCCAGAAATTGCTTTCAGAAAATGCTTGAAAGCGAAACACGGGAAGGTAATTAAAGAAAGTTACAGCATACCGCATTATTACTATATAAGCTCTTTAGATGGGAAATTTGATTACAGTCACGTGCTGATGCCAGTTAAGCCGTGCCGCCTATGTTAGCCAAATTTGACGGAGCTCTTCATAGATTAGTTGGTTCGGATTCATCTGGCCCCACGGTTCATACTTTGAGCTCACCCGCTGCACTTCCTTCTACTCATCGCGAAAAAGAAGAAAAAACAGCTAAATAAATGCCCGCAAACGTCCTATCTTGTTGCGTTTCAACGTACGCTGTCGGTATCGGAGGCGATGTCCTCGAGAAATGTTTCAAGTGAGGAAGGGCTGAATCACAGTATGTGAACAGAAATCGAAATAGTAGTGCGAGCTTCAGCGTTAAGTTCTCTCACGAGGAGTTCCTGGATCGAACGGGGTGATGAAAGTAGGTAGGAATATTTAAATAAGTATGCATATATCTTTAAAATAACGTACGTAATTCTCGCGTGAGTTTTCACCAGAGTACAGCGCCAAAAGTACGAATAGTGAACTGTGTCTGACCAACGAGGTGCGATAGACCTGAAAAAAATGAGGCTCAAGAATTGACAGCAGGTACATATACTGGTCTGTTCGTTCTCCTGTTCAGCTGCGTTGAGATTATTTTTAATATAAAGAAAAGAGAGAGAAATAAAAAAACGAGATTAAGCAGATGAAGTTCACTTTACTACCCTGTACGGGTGAAAAGAAAAACTGTATCTAAAGTGTGCGGAAATGACAATAGCCCTTGAATGCTGGTACAATCCTTCGAAACGTTGATGAATTCAGGCGAAGTACGCACTGACCCCTTGGATAATCACATTATATAGCACAAAAGAATAAAACTGAGTAAATTTAAGGTGTATAAGGGAAAACTTGTTTCTAATAGAGGTGCGAAAAGTGAATAATGCCTTTTGAAAGTACACTAATGAGTGGAACCAAAGCTCTGGTTTTGATAATGAAGCTTGAGGAGAAGCTATGTATAGGGAACGCGCAGTGAGTAATGATAATAGAGTATGATAGGCGCAACGTTCTACTGAAATGCTCATTAGAGGCTAAAGACGGATTTATTCAACAAAACTTCTTTCTATAGGTGAGTTGGTGATGTATGATGTGACATATTTTTTGCGCAAATTAGGAAACAAAAGAACTCGGAAAGCAGAGAAAAAAAAAACAGCACACAAGCTAAATGCATGCATAAGGTTAAGCACCTACTCTGTGCACTCTATTTGCCCTGTGCACTGTGTTTTTTTCTTCTCTTTTCCGAGTTCTTTACTTTCCTACTCTGCGCTAAAACATAGGTCATACGCCATACATCAGCAACTCGGCCAGCAAGAAGTTTTGTTGAATACATCCGTCTTTGAGCCTCTAATGAGCACTTCAGTAGAACGTTGCGCCTATCGTACTCTTTATCATTTTTCACTGCGCGTTCCCTATACATCGCTTCTCCTCAAGCTTCATTAAGGACACCACAGTTTCAGGTTCCATTGAATAGTGCCTGTTTGGAAGGGGGGGGGGGGGTAAACACTGCAATGAATCTTCACTCCACCACTAACAACCCTGCCCATGCATATGCTT